GTCTCTACTAAAAATACAAAAATGAGTGGGGCGTGGTGGCGGGTGCCTGTAATCCCAGCTACTCGGGAGGCTGAGGCAGGAGAATTGTTTGAACCCGGGAGGCAGAGTTTGCAGTGAGCCGAGATCATGCCATTGCACGCTAGCCTGGGCAACAAAAGTAAAACTCCATCTCAAAAAAAAAAAAGGAAAGGAAACATTTCCTCTGAAAATTTGAATTACAATGTGAGTTCTTTTGTGATTCGGCTTCCTTTGCACTTCACTAAAGAATAAGGTCTTTTAATGTATTTTTAATTATTTATATTTCCTTTCCTACCAATTTTTTGTTCATAATGTGTCTATTGGTGTGTATCTTTTCTTTATTTGTAGGACCTCTTTATAAATATTGAATGTAGCACCAATTTTACATACGGATGAGACCTGGCAGAGGAAGTTAAGTGACTTTTCCAAGGTGAAAGTACTGAATAGAGAGTTGTAGCTACAGAGACCAGTCCACTTGTGCTCCTGAATCACAACCTAGGCTATCTCTCACTGTTCAACTCATCTATTTTGAGTATAAAATTAGGAAATATGCTTATATAAATATTAGAGATTGTGACCATTTATTTTTATAACACTATATTTTTCAGCAAATATTTACTGAGTTTTTAATATGTTCAGAGGACTGGGATAGAGAATAAAGATAAAACGGTAAGAAAAACAGATATGATCCCCCATGAAGCTTATAGACTAGAAGGAAAAAAGCATTACTCAGACCACTACACCCTTCCACATAAAGACATATGGTAATGGTGGTACTGCCCTTGTCTCAGGGTCGAGGAAGGCTTCTCTGAGAAGTAGCATTTGAGTTGAGATTCGAAGTATGAACAGGCATTACTTAGGTGAGAAAGGATGAGGAAGAGCATTCTTAGCCAAAGAAACTGCTTATGCAAAGGCCGTGTGCAGAAGGGAGAATTACTCACTCAAGGAACAGAATAAGGCCCAGCACGGTAGAAAGTTAGAGTTCGGAGGCAGGTGGTTAGGGGATGGAGAGTGAGCCAAGACAATGCTGAAGACAGGAAGGTAGGGGCTAGATCTTACAGGGCTTTGTGTATTCCAAAAGCACTTGCCATTATTTGTAGTGCAGCTGGATATCTGGGCAAGTCTTCCCAGACACAGAAGGTCTCTCATCTCCCCACTTTTCAACGCCTTACCCCATCCTACTTTCTCTTAGATTTCATGGGGAGAAGCACTATCAAGAAAGGCTTTTGTAAATGGAATCCCTCACTCCTCCTTTCTAGAACCTGGAAATCCTAATGCATCCCACTCATCTACTGATCCCTTCAGCCACCAGGACAGAAAATACATTTAGTTCCTTTTAAGGACTTGGCACCCTACACCAGCATCATTGGTCTGCAACAATATTGTGAAATTCTTTTTTTTTTTTTTTTTTTGAGACAGAGTCTCGCTCTGTCGCCCAGGCTGGAGTGCAGTGGCCGGATCTCAGCTCACTGCAAGCTCCGCCTCCCAGGTTTACGCCATTCTCCTTTCTCAGCCTCCCGAGTAGCTGGGACTACAGGCGCCCGCCACCTTGCCCGGCTAGTTTTTTGTATTTTTTTTTTTTTAGTAGAGGCGGGGTTTCACCGGGTTAGCCAGGATGGTCTCGATCTACTGACCTCGTGATCCGCCCGTCTCGGCCTCCCAAAGTGCTGGGATTACAGGCTTGAGCCACCGCGCCCGGCCAATATTGTGAAATTCTTGAGTCTAGCTTGGAGAACACCTACAATCCCATCCCGGGCTAATTCATTTCCTTCTCCCCTGCTTCTTTCACTGCTACTCAGAAAAAGAATTCAGTTTTCCTTGAGAGCTAACTCTCAGGACAGGACCTGAAAATCTTTCTCAGTAAAGACTCGATATTTATATGACGCGAAACACCTGTAGAAAGGTACGGACTGTGATACCCCACCTGCAGGGAATGGCACCGTGGCTTCTGTAATCAACCTGGATTAGTCTATTTTCGGAGAAGACAGAGGAACTCCACTTATGCCCATGGAATAGAGTGTGTGTGTGTGTGTGTGTGTGTGTGTGTGTGTGTGTGTGTGTGTAAAAGAAAAAGAAAGAGAATGGGTAGGGAAAGAGAGAGAGATGGGTGGGGAAGGAAGATATTACCTGATTGATTTTGAGTTGTAATCATTAGGTTTCATTAATCATGCTATAAGGCTTTTGTTAGTCACCAGTATCCACTTTCAGACACGTGGGAAGATGTCCTTTCTCCCTCTCTTTGATGTCAGGTATGGCAGTGCAACTCGCTCTGGCCAATGGAATGTGCATGGAAACAACATATGGTGGTTAACTGTGGTTAACTTCCTAGACTATTCTTTCCTTGTTGCTACAGTCTTGGATGCATGTGTTAACATGGAAGTGTCATAAGAGTGAAGCAGCCTGGATTGCTCGGAGGACAATCATGGAGGACAACTGTTTGCCCATATTCATGGAGGGCTATAGCAGAGAGGAAAAACTTCCGGTGAGCTACTGAGACTTTGGGGTTGTCAATTACTGCGGCATTGCTGAGCCTATCCGACTGATATATATGCTTATTTAGGAACTTAGAAACATCAACTTGCATACATAAATTTTGTGTCTGTGTGTGTTGTGGGGGTGTGTGTTTGCTGGGTATGTGTTAGAAAGAGAGAGAGAAAGAGAAAGCCAGAATTGATGTATAGTGAGAGATTGATTTTAGAATAAGATACAAGTTCCTTAACTGCTTGATTTTAACCAGTTTGGGACTTTTAGTTGTAAATTATGCAAATGGATATATAAGCATATATAAACAAATATATGGCTTGCGTAAGTGTTTGTTTATGCACAATATGAAACATATTCTTATGTTTTTGTTTTGCACTTGCATACAAATGTACTATGGTCACTCAGAGTTGTCTTCTACAATCCACAAATAATATTTAAAAACTTAAGCTAACTAGTCAATTAAAAGCTCTAGGCAAACTTCATCTGTAAGATGCATTCCAGATTACTGTCTGAATCACGGACAATGTACACTGTACATTCATACCAACAGCATAAGAAAAAGCCAGAGCTAGGTTTAGATTTATATTTCCTGAGTTTTCTTGATTGCCGTCTGATCCTTGATGTTATTCCAACATAGAGTGATTTTTAAAGGAGAATTTAATTTAATATAAGTCTGAATATCCTTTGGAATGCTACAAACCAGCATTACTCCAGCAACCCTAATGAAAAACACAAGTTCCGTGTACCAATTTGTGGTCAGAGCCAGCATTCCAGCCCTGCTCTCTCGTGGCTGCTAGTACTCCATCGTGGTCCTTTTCCCAGCCCTTTGCTTTTCTAGCTCAAGATGTCAGAGGCTGTGGCCCACATGGTATGCTAAACAGCCCACTGCTTACAGAAGGCTCTTACAGCTCAAGTGCAAAGACTTTGAACTTATAAAACACACCACCATCACTACCACCACCACCACTAAATGGAAGTCTCCGAGGATTTCCTATTAATGTCCCGGCAGATAGGCGTACACTTATTTTAAAACATTCTACGTGTGCACACAGATGCATTTCCATACAGATTCAAGACAAGAAGAAAACTCATACAATTAGGCTGAGACTGATTCACTCGCATGTTTTATCACCGGTGTGGAATGCCAGTAACAAGAGCAATCATTTGTTTGTGAATTCACGGAAGACTGGACTTTCACACTGGAAAGGGACTTCCCAATGAATAGCAATGGGGAGACTTGCTGTGTATTAGCATATTTTATCTGCCCTTGTTTTGAAATTAAACGGAGTTGTGGTTGAAAGGAGAAGGCACAGCTTGCCACTGGGCTGGCTTTTTGGGAAAGTGGCATTTGGAATGAGGTTTAGCTACGTGGGCCAATTCTAAAGTTAACTCTTAGGATTCCTGGGCTTGCAGAAGACATTTTCCCCTCCTCGTGTGATAACAGAATTTTCTAGTCACTACTATTCTTTCCAGAAGGCTACTCGTTCTTGGATACAGTGCCTGTCTGTTTTGACTGGAGATACTTAAATATAAATCAGGAGAATTCTAAGCTGTAGTAAAGGCTAATTGGCAAAACTAAATAAAATTGTATTCCACATGTATTTACTGAACATATATTGTGTGCCCAAAGCTAGTCTAAGCACCTTGGGGTCAGGGGAGTGGAGGAAGAAGATGGATGGATAGCAAAATTGAGATTGAGATCAAGATCAAGATGGAAATAGAGCTAGAAGTAGATGCATAAGACAATAAGAGAAAATTTAAAGTACTATGTCATTAAAACCAATTAATAGTCTAGAAGTTCTAAGAAAAAATGATGAGTATAAGTTGAAGCATTTAGGGTGGATATCAAGAGGAGAGGTGAGTCTACATCTAACTTTGACAGAAAAGGGGAGGATTTGAATAGATAAGGGGCAAGCGTTCTGGAACTGGGAGTCAGTTATTAAGCACAGTAATTAAGTGTGTAGGCTTTACATTGTCAAAGTATAATCTTCTAAACATCAAAAGCATGACTCTCATAAAAATACGAAGTGCATACCTTTCAAAGTTCTACTTAGCTCATTAATCAGGGAATCAGTATATTATAAAAATGACTCAACAGAATGTACGAGAAATCAAAGTACGTGTTGTTCATTAGAGTCAGAAGACTGAAATAAGACTGCTAAGTTAAAAACAAAGCTGGTTAATGTTCTATGGGACAACAAAAACTGTAGCATTTGAGGTCCCCTTTCCTAGTGGACAAAAATATTTGCTTCTCTACTGTAAAAGGATCCTTTGAATTTGACAATATCTACTGAGTTAAAATAAGTCCACAGAGTCTAGAGTCTAAGCAAGAATGACTGTAAGTCAAACAAAAATACATCTCTCTGGTGAACCAGGTACTCCTTATGGAGGCCTGTTTGGTAGTGCTCTCATTTGACATTGAAACGATCCAATATGGACAGGATCTACAAGTTTGGAGTACTTTTTAAAACAGTATTCAGGCAGAAGGGAGTTCTAACCTTGTTCCAGCATTTGCCCACTGTATGATGTGGCAATGTGCCTTCACTTCCTGGTTCTTCAATTCCTTTATCTATAAAATATAGGCAATAATAGTTCTTAGCACACAGACTTGTTATAGGGATCACATGAGATAATATACAATGTCAGAGTTTTGCGTAATGCCTAGCACATAATGCCTAGGGCTCAAGATACCTTACCTCAGATAAACAGGGAAGGATCACCAGCAAAATCCCACAGATGCAAGTGAGCACAGCGTTTGGAGGGCACTGGATGGAGCAGCCTGGCTGGAGAAGAGAACAGGGAAATAGAGAAAGATAAATTAATAGTTTTTAGTCAGATTTGTGTAGCTCTAAAATCATTTTTAGAAATAAGGAAAGGACAAAGAAGTGCACAGACATTTTGAGAAACCTGGGTTTTATTCTGAAGTCCGTTGAGAGCTCCTACCACTATTGTGTGTGGGTGTGTGTGTGTGTGTGTGTGTGTGTGCCGCATAATGACACGGTGAATACAGAATTTGGGAAAAACTAACTCAGCTTTCTATAGGGCAATGTGGAACAGGGAGAGTCTGTGGTTAGAGAGGAGAGTTAGGAAGTGGTAAAGGATTAAGAAGCCAAAAGAGAGGAAGGAAATGTACATGAATACTACAGTGTGAAACTGAAAGGTTGTGGGAATGGTGTTCTCTTTGATATTAATAGGCAGCTTAGGAAAAGAAGACAGTGAAGATGAGGAATTCTGTTTGCATCTACTGGCTTTATTTGGGACTAAGAGGTATGGATGTTGAAATGCTCCATAGACTACAGGAGACCAGGATTTGGATGAGAAGTTAATGGTGGAGATATAGCTTGAGAGGTCACCCATCCGAACACGATACGTAAAGCCTTGAAAGTCAATGGACAAACCTCGCACTGAAGAAGAGAGAGCAGAGGGACAAGAATGGTATGTGTGTTCTTTCTCTCTTTTTTAAAAAAAAAGATAGTTGTTTTCCAAAGAATAAAAACATAGCAGGTCATTGGAGAGAGTGGATGGAAAGCTCCAACACTTTGGAATCGAAAGTAGAAGAGCGATGCAGGAAAAGAGTAGAAAGCCAGTGCTGTTGAATAATCCCCAGAGCTGATGGAGGACGATGGAGGCAAAGCTCGCTGAGTTGAGTTGACCTCGCCATTAAATGGAAGAAACTCTGGAAATACATGGAATACATTGGCTTAAATCCACTCTAAGTTATAAATTACCAACAGGAGAGAGTGTTTGCTGGTGGAAGAGTTTGCTGGGAGAAAGGAAATTTTAAAGCATGGGGGAAATTGAAGGTGAGGAGATGGGAGCATGCGGTGCCTTAGGCTTAGTCTCCTTTCAAAGTCACTCTGGGACAAGAATGTGAATGCAAGCAGTTGATTTAGGATGTGATCCCAGGAAGGACCAGGAAAGAAACAGATATTGGGCCAGGGATGGGAAGAAAGTCAACGCAGGGTCCATTAATCAGCAGGGTCGCACTGTGGGTGGCCAGGACTCAGTCCTGCTAGGAGCCTGAGAAGGACTATGAAGAACAAGTTCGAGAGCCATCCCAGCTGAGCGGAGACTCTCCGGAGTACTCAGTCACCAAGTCTAGGCTGTTAGATGAGGGATGTTCCTGGATTTTAACTCTCTGGTACTTCTGGTCTATTTGTGCCTGCAACCAGAGAAAGCCCTGAGGAGAGAGCCGAGGGCTGGCAGTAAGCAGCCCCTGGTGTGTCCAAGAACAGCAAGCACTGAGGGGTGAAGGGTGGGGCACCCACCAGGTTTAGAGGGCAGAGGCTGCAGCCAGACTGCCTGAATGTGAATGTGGCTGGATTTTCTGCCACTGAGTACACCTCGGGGCAGGCCTGCTGGGGTCTTCTGATATAGGTACAGTTCAGCTTGCTTCCAGACCGGCCTCAGAAACCTAAGAGTCAAGTTATCTGTCGGGAGCTTGATATCATTATTACTCACCACGTTTTGTTCACTCGCCGTGTGTCAGACATTGTATAAGGTGCTTTCTATGTGCCAGAAACCCCTGCCTGTCCACACAATCTGCTCTCTCCATCCTCAGTGGATGGAGGCTTTGTTACTTTGGCATTAAGTGGCACAGATGAGTTAGCATCACTCCTGAAGTTTCTTCTGTAAAGATGATTAATATTAGGAGAGGCTATACTCTAAAAACTCCAGAGACCTAAGGATCTACAGATACTTTTTCAGGATCGATTTGGGAATCACGGTTGTCATGGTGTTGAGAGTGTTGCAATGTTCTTATCAGACAATCACAAACACACACTGAATCCAGAAGATGTTGGACCGTGGGGCATTTCTTTTCACACCATGCAGGTCCAAGAAGTCTTTATTCTCTACTCTTTCTCCCTCTTGTCTCTCTTCTTCCCCTATTAGTTTTCTGCTTCTCTGGCTTCCCTTCTTAATTCTGACTCTGTCATGGAAGCACATGGCAAAGCTGGCCCTGTTTCCTCTAGAATATTCCAGGTCCACTTGGCTGGCCCTCTCCTTAGAACCACATTCCTGGGGTTCTGGAGAGACAACAGCTCCCTGTCATTACTAGCTGAACGGAAGAGTAGCATCCTTCCTTAGAGCCTCTCAGCCTTGCTCACATCTTTATAGATAGTGCCTTTATCAGCCTCACTTCAAATTACCCAATGAGGGTTTGTCTTCTGTTCCTGCTGGACCCTAACTGACAATACAGCACTCAAGTTCACTGCAGGCAATTCCGTGGCAGAAACCCAAACTTATGCTTCTCTCTGAGCCTGTCCTTGCGAAGATACAACCACAAATATTAGTAGAGATTAAAACTGAGGTTCAGTGTGGATTCCGTCAGAGAAGCGTGACTGTTCCTGGAGAAAAAGCATTTTCAGAAGGGGCACTGTAACTTCTTTCTTTTATTCAACAAATACTGAAAGCCAGGCACTGTTCTAGGTGCCAGGAAAATAGTATGAGCAAGACAGAATTTCTGCCTCAGGGAGTTATATTCTAATGGAAGGAATGAGTCAGAACTAACACACACTCGTATAAATTAAAAAGACAATTCCAGATAATGCTAAGTAGATTTTTTAAAGTGCTAGAAACGGGAGGATACTATCTGGGGTTAGATGGCTAACTAAGGCTCTTAAAAGTTCATTTTCAAGGTGATTGGGCACCTTCCTTAGCACACCAGAGACACCCCATTTTGAGGACTTCTGAAACCATTGAGGGTAATTTTAACAATGCAATTCGATGTGGGAAGGAACAATGAATCACTGAAATTTGGTTATTAATGTTAAAGGGACTTATTTGGACCCCAAAACAGGACTGTACATCTCTCCACCCTTGTCACTGACGCTTCTAGTAGTTCAAGAAAAACTGTTTCATTGAAGAGTGGCTGCAATTTTTTCTTCTCTTACGGAGACTGTAACTCTGATCAAAGTGATATGAAGATGCTATTCTTCGGCTTCTGCAAATAGAATGAAAATGACTTTTGGCTGTGGGTGTGTGAGATTTTTCTCAAAATGGAATGTGAGGGCGAGCACTAATGTGCTAATAAACCTCTGTTGGCAGGAAAGAGGTTTTGTCAACGAACTGTGAGAGCAGCAGAATACAGTCCCAAGAAGTTGCAAGATGGGGTCTGCTTTACGGGAATTGGAATCAAATTCAAACATTTTATGGTTCAGCCGTTTAAACATTGACTTAAACATTTGGACATGTATCCATCTCTGGTCTAGCCTGGAGCCACTGTAACTTGCACATGAAATCCACTGCAAGCTACTAATTATTGTCTTCACAAAAACCACAGTGCAGGCAGTAGCTGAATTCTGAAAACAGGTTTTCTGCTCTCAAGGAATAATGCTAAAAGGAGGAAATTTGTAAATACCCAGGACCCCTACCCACAAGTATTTCCCCAAAACTTCCTCATTTAATCCCAGGGCTCTCCTTCCCTTCTCCGGGTCCCATAGCTACCAACTTCTCTCATCCTCAGCTCTCCGGCTTCTTCCCTAATAGCACGTGCATTATAGCTTCTAGAGCAAGCCCTGCTCAAGACTGTTAGAGGTAATCTCAGTTGACTGTGGCACCTTAAGGATGGAGGTGCCACATGGTGGCTTTTGTCAAAGTACTTAAACACTTACATGTGCCCAGCGTGTTTGACTTCTTTTCTAAGGAACTTACCATTTGCCTAACAGAATGACGAAAGCTTGGTAGCATAAGATCTGTTCACATCCCTGATACATGAAAGGCCATGGTTCTCCGACTTTTTAGTCCCAGCACTTCTTCACACTCCTTAAACCTATCAAGGCTCCCAAAAAGCTTTTGTTTTATATAGGTAGCATTTATTGATGTTTTCTATGTTTGAAATTAAAACTGATAATTTTTTAAATTTACTTAAGATAACAGTAAATATATTACATGTTGGCATAAATATAATACTTATATGAATAGTAAGTATATTTTCCAAAACCAAAAATATTTAATGAGTATCACTGTCTTACTGTTATTGCAAATCTCCTTACTTTAATATCTGGCTTATTAGCAGATAGCTGGATTCCCATTTCTGTTTCCATATTCAATCTGTTAAGGTACTGTTATCCTTTCCCAGTTGGTGGGAAAGCAGCACCATGGGGTAGGAGTGCAGGGGGTGGGGGAAAGAAAGAACTTTCTGCTAATCCCAAGAATGTGCCATGAGATTTGGAGAGTGAAAGAAAAATAGTCTAGAGGTGTTGCAGTTTCACAATTTTACCCCTTGAATCTACAATGACACATTTCAAATGTTAGAACTGGATGGGATAAAAAGGAATGAATTAACGGCATTCACCATGACCTGGATGAGATTAGAGGCTATTATTCTAAATGAAGTAACTCAGGAATGGAAAACCAAACATCGTATGCTGTCACTGATATGTGGGAGCTAAGCCACGAGGACGCAAAGGCATAAGAATGATACAGTGGACTTTGGGGACTTGTGGGGAAGAGTGAGGGGAGGCGAGGGATAAAAGACTACACATAGGGTGCAGTGTGTACTGCTCGGGTGATGGGTGCACCAGGTTCTCACAAATCTCCACTAAAGAACTTACTCATGTAACCAAATACCACCTGCACTGCCAATAACTTATGGAAAAAATAAAATTAAAAAAATAAAAAGAACTGGATGGGAACTCAGAGGTCACATGACACATTCTTCAGTCTAAAAAGTAGATTAACTTGATGACAAGTTATTGGGGAGGTGAAGCCAACACCTAAAGGTGTAGCATAAGCACAGACTGATGAGTCCCAAGA